GAGTTTCTCCACCAAGTTTTGCTTGGGGATCAAATACTTATTTCACTCACTGAAACGCAAATCAATTTATAACCTTTGAAGAGTGTTTTTTTTCTGGATCTTTTGCTTGATATTCTCTATCCGTTAAAATAAACCTACCATAAAAATTATAGACCCTTCATTTCTTTGTAAGTGGGCAAACTTACAAAATCAGTAGGGGATCAAATAATTATTTTCCCCACTGTATATACAGTATATAGGTTCAAAATTTCATTATTTATATTTTTTGTCTTGCTAAATTTAAGAATGTCTGATATGTCAAATCTTCATCAGATAATGACAGATCTTCCTGAAAAAATTTATATTTGATAAATATAGAATTTCATTAGGTCCCCCTTATTTTCCTTTTTACATTTTTTTTTTAAATGATTAAAAAAAAATATTGCAAGGAATTTGTAAACCTATGAGCCAAACTATATATGACACCACTAACAGACTTTTTAAACAGTTGTTATGATTTATATTAAATAATTCTTTTTTATTTCCTGATAAAAACTTTAAAATATGCTGTTTTATGGTATTTTATATGATTAACTCCACTTGTGCTTAAGTCATTCACTCTTCTTCTATTTTAATCTGAATTTTTCTGGCGTGAACCACATTGAAATTCTCTGCTATATTTTTATATTCAATTCTTTTGACATTTAAATATTCCCTTTTATTTTATTCTATAAAACGATAAGTAACACTTTGCATTGTTACACAAATATAAATTCTGCTTGTTGATTATCCTAATTGTGACGTTAACTTATATTTTAGATATTAACCCGAAAAATGCACCTCTACAAGACGGATACAGTGTCATGCAAGTGATATTAGCTCGGCTAATGGTTTGTTGAGAGTTTACGGTCCCGTTTGGGGAACATTTTCAGCACCATGGACAAGGACTTTCAGCGGACCCCACATAAAGATGCATCACTGATGCTTTATTCTTATAATAACGCTATCTGCTGTTTAATATAACATACAATATGACGTTTTCTACTCTAAAAATAAATGTCGTCGTGGAGATGCTTCCCTGAAGTTTCCATATTAACATGGCTGCGTCTGTCGTCAGCGTACTGGAGTTAGTCTACATAAACGCGGTGTTTGTGAAGTTTTATGTCCCGTGCAGAGCATATTACAACAAACAGGCTTTCGTTAAACAAACGACATCTGTTAATCATGCAGCATAAAACAGCTGCGAGCTACTACATCAAATAAAACACATGCAGAACACAAGCGAAACTCAAAAAAAGCAAAGACAAAACGTAAAAGCGATTTACTTACAGCAAAGGCCCGGTGCAGCTCCAGCAGGAACGACCCGAAGAAACTAACACAATATCCGTTCACGGAGAGTTTAAATATAACATCCACTCAATATAAGCGCGATGTCGCTTTGATTGTGCAAATCTGTGCATCACATTTGCGGACTGCTTTATGGCTTTTAGAGAAGGCTCCGTATTGCTTTGCTTTAGATCATCGCAGGTGTAAATCACAGGCTACATAGAGAAACATTATCTACATAGCGCTCATCCTTCCTCCTTCCTTCCTTCTTTTTTCCACTCCCTCCTCAATCTCACTTACTTGTGACGTCACGGGGGAACGCAGCCTACGTCATTTTATCCTTGCATCACGAGTCATCTTCTGTGCTAAGTGTACAAGATCATTATTTATTTTTCCTCTTTATATATTCTATTTTGTATTTTTCCCTCGTATTTTTTTTATTTTGCTTTTTTTTTTATTATTGTGTTAATGTTATTGTGTTGTATATATGTAATTAAATAAATAATATATAATCAAAGTTTAATAATAAAAATCTTAAGTGTCGATTTTATCCACACCTGTTTGCTATAAAGCACAATTTTTTTCCTGTAGAGAACAATTTTATTCTTAGTCACATTTGCCCTCTATTTGAATATACAATAAAATAGTATTTATTTATATAACACCTTTAAAATACATTGTTTACATAGTGCTTTGCAGAGTAAATATGCATGTGCAAACACATATGCACATAGTTAGATATATACATTTTATATTAGTTTTCCCTTCCTCCAGGATTGTTTTCTCTTCCTCTAAGCTATTCATTATGGGCATTGTTGTCTATTTATACTTTGCTCTTTAATAATTGAGAAGAGATTAATCCTTTCGAAGAATCTATTTTCAAGCCAATGCTCACTGCAAAAAAAAAACTTAATTAAGCAAATGTCTTGACTGAACTTGAAATGTCAAGTAGCCTTGAAAATGTCAAATTTGCCATCACTATAACAAATAATTAACTTTAATAATCCAAAAAGGAAAAAGGCTACAATCAGATTGGACACAGACCAGGGCAAGGAAGAACATTTTGCAACCGTACCATGTGAAATATTTTTGTCTCATTCTTTTTCAGAATCTAAACAGCTCAGGAGTCAGGAAGGTAGCAGATGCTGTGCAAAATCTGACGGGATGGTACAAGATGCCAGGGAAAGAGTGCAGGGATGACTTCAGAGAGAATAAATTACAGTCAAAGTGTCTTATTTCAGTCATCTGCTGGAACTTAACTTTCATATCAGAGGAGAGAGTGCTCTGCCCTTGCAGATCTAAGCCTGTTTTGATGGTGGCAGTTTATTAATATCAGGAGCGACATTTGCTGATGCTGACAGATACATTCTGAATCTAATTTACAACACCTAGATAACACAGAGGTACAGGTCAGTGCCTTTGCCCTGGTCATTTGATTTTTTTCTGTTTTTAATAAATAAATAATTTACATAAATGTGATCTTATGTGCTTATTTTAGTGCTTAAAGATTGAAAAATATTGTTAAACATGTTACCCTGGCCTATACTGTATGTTTAGAGAGACACCAAATAATGAAATCAAACAAATGAAATGTTATTTTTGCTATGTTAATATATATATATATATATATATATGGTTTTTTAGAAACCCTGCACTGAAAATAAACCCTTCATCAACACTTCATCTCTCCAAATGCACAAAATCTGTATTTCGGTCGCAATTAATGTTTCTTCTGATGAAAAGGCCAGAGTGCACTAATGCAAACGAGATGAATATAAAGCAAGCCTCATGCATGCCATTTGTCACTTGGGCACAAAGCACTTTTTGTGAACCACTATTTCAAAGTCAGCATGGGAGTAACATTAAAATGAAAATAATTTTACCTAATTTTAAAGGCATTTTACATTCAAAGCAAGATTTGAAAAGCAGAGAGCAAAACGGCCTTATTTTATCATGTCAGCTATAGAGATTATAATAATAAGAGTGTGTTTATAAAGACAGTTTTATACATTTGCATAGAAAAACATTAGGTGCTTGTCAGGATGAAGAAATATATTGTATTATTTATGATTAAGTTAATCAAATTGCAGGGTTGCTACCATTACAAATATTGTCAGTCTTTTACCACTTGATTTGAGATACCAAACCTTCACTCTCTCTCAAAAAAAATTATTAAAAAAAATAAAATAAAAAAATAATTACGAAAAAATATATATATTAAGAATTTTCTTTTGGTCTTTCTCCTTTTCAAGTACTGATAAAAAGCTTAACAATAAATAAAAATTAAGACTTGCTCTGTCAGTCAAGAATCATGTAAAGCACACTAGAGGATTTTCAAATCTTAAACTATTTTAAAACCATGGGAGACCACAGACATGAAGACAGTTCTACCGATTTTTAGCCTTATTATCCTCTGAACGCACACACTAGACGATTCCACACACTCGATGATTGTAGGAACGATTTCACAGTGACACGTGATCTCACGGACACTCGCGAGATCAAACATGACTAGAGAAGAAAAACAAATAGAGGACAATCAACGTTGTCAGCTGGCTCTCTTGGCGCGCGTTCTGTTTCACTGTGAAAAACATAGTATAAAAAAAGAATATGAGTGATGTTCTCTGCTTTCATGGCATGTTTGTGGCTGCCAAGTTTCAGCTATAGAAGCACACAACATCCGGTAGGTGACGCTTGCTCGCTCTCATTGGCTATCGCGGGTATCACGTCAGAGGCAGCCAGATCAAGAGTCGTAAATATCAAACATGTTGAGATTTGAGTTCGGGGACACTCCGTCTCGATCGGGAGCAGATAAATAATCATAATGACACCACACAATAGAGGATTTTTTTGACAAAAAATCGTTTGCGACAAGCCGCGAATCGGGCCACACCCCCCGATCGTTCGGGGATGCAAATCGGGCTTAAAATCGGCCTTAAAATAGTCTAGTGTGCAGCCAGCCTAAGGAAAACTTAGAAAAAGCATTATTCATGGACGCACTCATAAACTGACACTTCTTATGTGTTGTTTGAGGAACTCTGAAATGTCTGCGTTTATTTGCCTCACTAGTTTTTTATCATTCTCCATCCCGTCTCTCTCCCCTTCTTCCCCCGAGAGACTGATGTCACTGCTGAGGCGGCCCAGGTGTTCAACTGAGTCACACTTTTCAAGATCAGAGATGATGGTCTGGAGGCTGACGAAGGAAAGAGAGTCTGAACCAGATCGTGTCACCTCTGCTCTTCCCATGTCCACCCACCTGGAGTTCTGATGCGTCTCCACCCACTCTCTGGTATTAGCCACGCCCTCTTTTCCAGCCACCCAATCATTTGATCTCGGGTAGCCTCCGCAGGCTCCGCCTTCGGTACCTGTGCTGTTGCTTGTTTCTGCTCCTACAGGCGGGCTCCGCCCACCGCACGTTTTGATTGGTTCATCCTTTGTTTGGTCCTGCTCCCTCTGGGCATGAATCTCCTCACTGATTTGCTCCAGGTGGCGCAGAGTGCTGGAGTAATTTAACTTGGCTTTGGAAATACGCTCCTCTAATTGTAAAATTTTCGACTTGTGCTCCTGAAAAAACATGTTTTGAACATGCTCAGCTAACACATTTTAACTGTAATTCAAAATAAATTTGTCATCATTTACTCACCTTCATGTTGAGCTGCAGTAGAAGGCAATATTTTCAGTGAATAATTGAAATTTGTTAAACAAAAGTTAGTCTGTTCATCTAAAAAAGGTTTTTTTAGGGATACAGAAGATTTGGAATATAGCGCAAAAATTATATGGATTACTTCTATGGCACTTTTCTGCTATCATCTGTCACCTCCTCCGGCTGATTTCCTCCTCTCTCCTCCACTGAAGGTGCTCCTGAACCCGCAGGGCATTCACGCAAAACCGCTGGATCCATTTACAGGCCTCTCCGTGAATCCGAGATCAAATGTTGACGATCAACAAGGCGAAAACTGTCAGATCGGACGCGAAACAGAGACGTAACGTCACTTGTCTATATTTTAAATGTCTTTGCCTTCATTACTTATTGTGGTAGTTTGTTAGCTTGCTCGCTAACGTTACTTCAAATGACTATCAGCAAATAAATAAACCGGTTTGATGAGTTTAAAAGTGCCATGAAAGGTAAACTGAAGAAAAATATGAAGATTACATAACAAATAATCGCCAAAAGTCCATTTATATGCCTCAACTTTACCCCATGGCTAACATCGCACTCCATCCGCCATTCAACAACACGAAATGTGATATACATGAGTGAGGTAAATAGAAAACGCGAAACGAAACCCTTTAGGACTAATGAGCTACTGTAGTTAAGGTTGTGTAACATTCGTGTAACGTAATAGCGTGGGAGCGTTTTGGTGACGCATGTAATGACTCGTTTGTGTGGCTAATAATAATAATTTTTATTTGGTCAATTTCATACACAAAAGAAAAATTAGTATTTCTAAACTATGTTTTAGGGTATTTATGGTTGAATTTCTTTATTGACTCTCTTAATTCTATTGCTAACAAAATAACTAGATACAATTTTATTTGTTAAATTGAAATGTGAAACTGATCTGCTGTTTTATTTATTTGTATTTCTCTTTTTCACAAACCCTCTGTATTAGCATGTTTTCATTATTTTAATGTCTTTTTATATGTAAATTCTTTATGTTGTGTGTTTAGGACTGAATTGAAATATTGTTGCTGTTATGAACACTCTTGTTTTTGATAGTGTATTATTTTTATTAGCATTTTTATTTATATAAGCAATAAATGAGTCATCAAATTTAACAAAAAAAAAATCTAAATATCCCAGTATATAAGTAAAACATAAAACATAATCAAGTGTCAAATTATTTTTCATATTCCAATCACTATGCCATGAACCATTCACAATTTATTAAAGACAGTACACAGAGGTGAATCAAAAAAATATACATTTATAGGCACTTAGAGCAGTATTCACAGTATTAAAAATAAGTGTTTTTAATCATATGTACCCTCTTTTTTAGTTCCTGAACAAATATACTTTGCGTGAAAAATGTGCATAGCTGGTCAGCATAAGATTTAGGTTTAATCTGTCAGTTTAATGATGCGACTGATGTGACAAAGTTCTCACATAAATCCTAGTTGACTTTATACAGACAAATAATGAAACCTGAGGCAAAAAGTCTGAGTGATCAATTAATGTTATTATCTTTGGTATCATATTATCTCTATTCTGAAACCCCTACTAGAGGTTTTTCCATCATTAAGCAGCGCAATGGAATTTTAAGACAATGTGAAGGGAATGATCATGTGCTTCGCACCGAAATTCCTGTGATGTAGGCGCAGCCCACTTCAACTCCAGCTCGGATCGTACTGGCTCCAACCTACAGGTGGAGCTAAATAGACCCTCTTTCCACGTAAAAGGAAACTAACTACACCTCTATACCCCGCTCGTGGCACTCCTGACTTCAGGTCATCCATCACACCAAGATTGCGAGCCAATGTTTTAAAACTGCCAGGACTAGAATACTGCACCCGAAATGGGCCAGACCCAGACAGTTTCCCACTTTGCAAGTCCTCCACGGTGACAACCGGAGCACCGTAAACCGCCTTCTCAAAGCTCTCATCATATTTCTTCTTTTCTAAATAAGAAAGGTCCATTTTTGTAAAAGGCACAAATTCGGTATTGAGCTTAATAAAGCGGAGGTACTTGTCGTAAAACTGCCCCGAACTCACACCCTTCCAACCGAATGTTAAAGTTCTGGAAATTTCTGGTCTGATGCAGGCCCTGTCTCTGTGCTGATCGGGGTGGCGCATCCAGTCGTCCCAAAACGAGGCCGGCCATTTTGGCTCAAGCTCTGCCCAGAGGTCCTTTGTGAACATCCAGCCCAAGCCTGGGAAAAAATCTGTCCTGTACAACAAGCTCGCTTTTCCAGGGTCCACAAATCCTTCCCTGCCATTGTCATTCCAGGCAGACACGCACCACAGAGTCGGGTCTGATTTTAAAACTGGATGAAGTGCTCTGAAGTACTCAAAAACATCAGGGGCCACCTGGTGAAATTGATAAAACATACCATCAACAAAATAAAATAATTCACCATTCACCCTAATTTATCAATAATTCAAATATATATATATATATATATAAACACACACTCGCATATAAAATGTGAATATATACTCTTTTCTTCTTATTTTTCATTATTCTATTTTAAATAAATTATTTTTGAGAATCTTTTTTACTTTTTATTGTTAATTGTATTTCTTAATCATCTGTTATGTATGCACAATATACACATAAAACTATTGTCTTTGAATATAGCACATGTTGATGATCATAGGAACCTTTTTTTTTCTTTGTTTTTTTTTTAAGAAAAAAATAATAATAAAAATGGTTCCTATGACCAAGGCAAAAGTGTGGAAAAGAAAACAGAAAATAGTTTTACTCCTTGTGTACCATAATTAAATTTTGGATTAACTTATTTTTTAAAAAAATTTTTACGAGAATCTTTTTTTTTTTTACTTTTTATAATTTTATTTCTTAACCATCTGTTATTATCAACTTGAAGGGTTACTCCACCCCAAAATGAATTTTTTTTTCATTAATCACTTACCCCCATGTCGTTCCAAACCCGTAAAAGCTTCGTTCGTCTTCGGAACACAATTTAAGATATTTTGGATGAAAACCGGGAGGCTTGTGACTGTCCCATTGACTGCATAATAGATTACACTGTCCTCTGCATCACCGTAGCGCCATTTTGGAGAATATCCGCTGAACGCAGGCATCATATGCTCTTCTGTGTCAGCCGCGACACAAGGATGCGTTTTCTACGTGTATTTACGCTTTGATTTGAACGAAAACAGCGCATCCACGCAGCGCGGCTGACATAGAAGAGCATACGCTGCTTGCGTTCAGCGGATATTCTCCAAAATGGCACTACGGTGAGACAGAGGAGACGAATTGTTGAATAAAGTCGTTATTTTTGTTTTCTTCGCATACAAAAAGTATTCTCGTCGCTTCATAATGTGTGTGCATATATATATATATAGCACACGTGTAAATAAGTTTAAATTAATTGTTTTTATTTTCATGTTAATTGGATGCCATGAGGTCATGAGATAATGTGCTAATGATACACACACACACATATATATATATTTATATATATATATATATACAGCACACACACACACACATAAAACTATTGTTTTTGAATATAGTGCATGATGATGATCATAGGAACCATTTTATGATACTTTGTATGGAAAAGAAAATAGAAAACGTTTTTCCTTGTGTATCATATTTTCATTTTTGTATTAACTGTTCTTTTAATGATAGAGTTTATACAATGTGCATTAAGGTTGCAGTAAAAGTTACCTCCAAATCATCCTCCACAACAACAACCGAGGAGTATGAAAAGGTGTTGAAAACCTAGTTGAGTGCCCAACGGTAATGCCGTGAGATTTTGTAGTAACCCTGGAACTTCTTATGCTGTGGAGGTACTGAGATATTAGAAAGATCAGGCTGTTTGATATGGGTCAGCTGACTGCCATATGAGGCGATCACGTCAGATGTTTCTGAGTGTCTGCAGTCCTGGCTCACTATGATTGGATAGAGTTCAGCTGACGGTCGGTGCTCAATGAGTTTGTCAAGGCAGCGTTTCACAGTCACACGATTACAGGCAATGACTAAAATAGGGATGACCACCGGAGCTGAATGTTCAGCTTGTGATTTTGGCTTAGCAGCTGTCACACCGCCTTTGTTCTCCCAAACCGACCAATGGCTCTGGATTTGCACTAGGATCTTCTTCTGCGATTCAAGTTCAGCTTCAAATGCATTAGCTACATGCATCACCTCATTCATAATATTTCCAAACTGACCACCTCCGGCTCTGTCCCCCGTGTTACCAGGTTCGTCTGGGCTGTCAAGAGCCCCTTGAGTGGACGGGTGTCTCATGAGGACAAAAATAAGAATAACGTTCCAGGCTACAAATATGAAAGCACCACAAATGATAAGAGGACTTCTCTTGCGTAGCATGGCCTGATGTGTGATAGGACAGAGGATTCAGGAAGGAAGAAATGGACATGAAGTGGGCATGTAGAACAGGAAGGTTTGAAGAAAGGATGAGCAAAAGAGTCTTGTGGATATTTGAATTGTTTTTTTTTCATATGCTTTGCATGATATTTTTCAGTCAGCATTCACAATAGTAAAAGCAATATGTAACATTACACCGATGGAAGGTGAAAATAGGACACATTCCAGGTTTCAGGATTCTGATATAGACATTTCTGTTCAAAGTGGCACGGTGACTTTCAGCAGAGCCTGTAAAATATGCAAGATTAATAGATATTAAGCACAGAAAAAGCTTGCATATATGTAGGGTTGCCAACAGTCCTGAATTCAAATTAAATTCATATGTTTTAAAATCAAACAGCTGAGAAGGCGTCAATATTTATCGCATTAGAGTGGAAAACAAATCTACTTCGTTTGCATTTGAGTGGTGCATAATTTCAGTGGATTTGTTCTAATGTCTAATGCAAAACACTTGAAGTTGAAATGCATTTAATTGTGAAGCATGTCTATCTTTTTTATACATGATTACAGTGTAGCATAGTTTTTATTTACAACATGGTACGTTGTCATTTGCCACTGATTATTTACTGAAACTGTTTTGTTTTGAACAATTGAACAAATTGAAATGTTTTTTTTTTTTGAATAATTGAGATACTATTACAGTTGTGATTAATTTCCATTTTCATATTAAAGTTTTTGCAAATTTGTTGTTTATTCCTGTCATTTTATTAGTGTTTTTTTTTTTATATGTCTATATCGTTTTAATTCATTTTTATTTTATTATTTTAGCATCAAGTTAAACTAAAAGAATGTGAGAATTGTTGTTTATTCCTGTCATTTTATTAGTGTTTTTTTTTTATATGTCTATATCGTTTTAATTCATTTTTATTTTATTTTTTTAGCATCAAGTTAAACTAAAAGAATGTGAGAATTGTTGCCTTGACAAATGGCTAAAATAAAATACTTTTTAAAATATTTTATTTCAGTTAACATTTATTTTATTTCAAGTAACAATTTTTTTAAAGGGTTTTAGTATTATTAGCTATAATAACCTTGGTACAGAAGAAAGTGTCCCTTATTTTCCTAAAAGAAAACTGACAGTAATATTCTTCTAATTAAGTTGGTAGCCCTACAAAACAAGATCTCCCTGAGATTCATTTCAGTTTTTATTTAAAAAATAAAAATATTGTGTATGATAATAATCCATACATTATTGTACTTGGTATATTTCAGGCAGTAACGGTGGTGTCCTGCAGTGTAATCCTATTTTATACACTTTGTATAATTGCTATACACTATGTTTTATGATCTCATAGTAATTGAGAGACTACATCAAATATTTGTATTTAAACATTTTAAATACAGAACTTAATTAACTGTACTTTTATTTAATTGAATTGCAAAAAATGTTAGTTTTTAAAATGCAATAGCTAACATGTTATTTAAAATTATGAAAAAGACATTTCGATTTGTTACAGCATCTAAAATTATGTAAATTAAATGCATTTGTCAACTACGCTATGAGAAAGTATCGTCATGGCTCGAAGATTTTCTTGATTAGAGTTTAAAGACGTTCCCCTAACATAAAATTATTGTGCTGAATATGTGACTGTCTGTGAGTGACAGAGAAACGATACTGAGATGACATTATCGAGTAATAATTTGTAATTATTATTGACACAATGCCCCGCCAATTCGACCACTGTGTAGTGTGTACACCTTGAAATGATACCGAGTTCATTTTCAAAATGCAATAGCATGTTAGTTTTATTCGTCAGAAATACTGCACTGTACGAACAAATATGGACAAGCATTATGAAGCAGATTCTTCCGTCGATCAATAATCTCACCTGTAGCTCTTCCAGCTCTCCCTCAGCCACAACTATTAAACAGTAAGAGACTAAACCGGACGGTTCATCACATATAAGAGCTGAGTTTAAACAACACCAGGATGCGTAAAAAATGCCAACATATCTGACTTACATGAGTCAACGCGCTCTCATACTCTGACATGTTTCCCTTCTTCTTTAGTCAGCCAATATATTCATACTTCCGTCGCATTAATGATTATGTCCCATTTCAACTAATCTAAGTCATTTATATGAATCTAATGTGGAACAGACTTTAAACAATCATTAATTTAAAGCACAGTAAACTTCCTGCCTTCGCGTATAGTATACCCTTCAAGCTTCGCTCAAGAATGCAAGAGTGCTTGACTTCCGGGTGGCGTCATTTTTTTAGGAAGTTCCGCCCCCTCCCGTCACTTAAAAGGAGCTGCGCTTACCCTAATAACGTGTACATACAACGCATTTCATTTGTGTTCATGGCAGGTGAAAGGTTAGAGGTAGGGTTTCGACCTCTGGATATACGGGACTATAAGGCCTCGTGGTGATTATGCTGATCCCGCGAAATGTATTAGTAGGGTCTCTGGTGAGGATCCTGTTACAGAGGTGGAAAACAGGTGGCCACCTCAATTAGAAAAGCCATGTGCCAGATATAAATTGGAACGTATGAATTTCATTAAATCATAAAATGATCCCACAGTCATTGTATGTCTGGATATCAACTGTAATTTAGAGTTTTCTAAGCCTGGAAATTCAACTCCCCTGTTAAGATGCATTAAAATATTAGGATTCAAGATTTTTGAGGATTATAGGATTAATTCCTTACATGCAAATAGAAATCCAATACAGACAGACAGACAGACAGAGAGAGAGACAGACAGACAGACAGATAGATAGATAGGTAGATAGATAGATAGATAGATAGATAGATAGATAGATAGATAGGTAGGTAGATAGATAGATAGATAGATAGATAGATAGATAGATAGGTAGATAGAGAAGTGATCAAAAAGTATATAATAGAATAGAGCCAGATTGGGCTCTACTTATATTAGTTGATCCAGATTCAAATCTCAAGGTTCTTTTTTTTTAGGATTGTAGAATGAATTCCTGACAAAAAAAAAAAACACATTCGTGATTCCATT